GGTCCCGGCGAAACTGAGAAGGGTGTGTGCAGGTGAGTGGAGGGGAGAGCTGTGGTGTGAAACCACCTCACACCCGCTGGCCCACGGACATTTCTAAGGACCTAGTCAGAACAGTCACTGGTCTGAACTGGTCATTCTTGTGTTGGCTGTGATGGCATACAGCTCTAATCCCAGCCCCCCCCCCCCCCCGGGCGACTAAGGGGCATCATGACTTTGAGGCCAGCCTAGGTTGCCTAGTGAATTCTGCCAGGGCTGAATTGTGAAAGCCCATCTCAAAGCTAACCAACCAACCAAACAGAACTAACTATGCAAATGAACCATGCTGGTGACTCCCAAGTAGGGACATTCAAAAGTGACCAGATGTTGTTTTGATTGTCACAATTTAGGAGAGGGTGCTGCTGACATCTAGTGGTTGGAGGCCTGGGGCGCTGCATGTCTTCATTTCCAGAGAATTATCTGACCCCATATTCAAAGGCTGGAGCACCCAGACCTAAATTATTAAAAGCTACGAATCCAGTCAACGCTGCGTTCCCACTGACACCCCCACACCACTCCGCTCCCCTGTCAGCCTCCAGCTGTCTTTCTGGTGTGGCCCAGGACTTCCAGGGCACACACACCAGGCGATGTGACTGATGCTAACCACCCGATCTCTTAGGTACATTGATTATGTGATTTAAAAATGTTCCTAGAAGTCTGAAAAGAGAAACACTGTTTTCCAGATGCTCTGATATTATAGTGCCTTCTGGAGTGCAGGGGTGAGGGGGGTTGGAGGCAATAGCCTATAGTAGGCACTGTTTGGTTAGTGAATACTTTGTTTTATATGTATATGTATATGTACACATGCACACACACATATATATATATATACATATATTTATTATTACTTTGCATATCAATCCCAGTTTCTCTCCCTCCCATGCTCCCGGATATTTTATTTTCATATCCACATCTTTTGAGTGATAGGTTTGCATCGTGTACATCCTGTGCTACTTTAAGAACTCTTGTCATACATGTAAAGTCAGGTTGAGCATATGTAATGGCTCTTGATTGTCAGCCTGACTGCATCTGGACTTGACCCCTGTGAGGGATTTTTTCTTAACTGAATCATGTGAAGGGGGAAGACTCTCACGTTTTCTCTGGATCTTATGAGATAGAAGACGACCTGCTGGCCTGTATAAAAGGTGTGGAAAAGGAAGCTCACTCTTTGCTTGCTTGTTCTCCACTCACTGGCAAGTCTGTCCTTTCTCTGGCATCAGAACCTTGTTTGGCATTGTGGGATATACTGAGGACCAGCTGAGACATTGAGACTTGTGGACTGAACAGCTACTGGACTCGTAGAACTTTTGTTGGTAAACGGCCATTTTTGAACTAGCTGGACCACAACCCTGTAAGCTGTTACTGGATAATTTTTTTGTACACTGTGAAGATGTGTCTTTGCCAAGGTGTTTTCCGATAGGTTTAATAAAGAGCTGAATGGCCAATAACTAGGCAGGAAGAGGTTAGACAGGACTTTGGGGCAGAGAGAGAGGAAGAGGAGATGAATCTCTATGAGTTCAGGGCTGGTGTGGTCTACCTAGTGAGTTCCAGGATAGCCAGAGCTACACAGTGAGGCCCTGTCTTTAAAGAGAGACAGGGAGGGAAGGAGGGAGAGGAGGCATCAGGCAGACAAGCCTTCAACACATAGTTGCCCCATGTACTTCTGGGGTAAATAATGGAAACACATCAGCAAAAAGGATGTACGTGTATACTTAGCGTCGTTATCACTTGTGGAATTTGAACAGGGTTCAACTTTGTTTCTTGAAGCTAGATGCTCTTGTGAAAGGGACTTTCTTTGTTCTGTCCCTTTCTCCTTCCCCTTCCATCAGTGAAGACAGTCTCATTTTTAGCACAGGCTATTGTTGAACTTGCCGTGTAGCCCAGATTCACTTCCCTCCTGAATCAGCCTCTTGCTTGCTGAGTTGCAGGTGTGCACCACCACATCCTGTGCCACATTTGTCTTTGTCCTGAAAATCACTGAAGAGCTAACACAGTAGCATTTCCAGGCCCGGCACTGGCTGAGATGGGAGACCAGTCCCAGGGCGTTTGCACGTCAAAGCGGGGAGGGGGAATGTCCTTTAGCCAAGGCTGACCTCACTAACTCCCTGTGTGCCTGAGGATGACATTGGGCTTCCTGGTCCCCTTCACCTTCTGGGTGTTGAGACTACAGACATTTTTCATCACACCTGACTTACCTGACCGGTTTTCTAGGGATTGGGCCCACGGCTTCCCAAGGGTTAAGTAAGCACTCCTACCAAGTTGGTATTTCCCCAGCCCTCAGGATATACTTTCATATAACCTGAACAGGGAAGGTTGGTGCTTTTCTTTGAAAATTATGGGGTTGAATGAGACTCGCTGCCTATTATTTTACTGTGTATTAGGCATGGTAGAAAGTGTGTGTACCTGGTGATGTCATAGCTCATCTGATGGGTCCATGGTACATGCTCCTTTGCAGGCAGAACATTCTGTGAGTTATTCATCAAAACAGTGACACAATACTGAGGTGGGCCAGAAACCCAACGGCTGCTCTGTTACATAAGAGGACTTCTGAGGTGAACCTTGCCCACACGGGGTTCATTACACCCACGGTCATTGCCCGCTGAGTCTCCACACTGTTGGTCTTGTCAGTGCTCAATTCTCTCTGGGTCTCAGCTGGGCAAAACAAAACACCAAAACCAATCAAACAACTGGAGAACTGAAGGGATTCATGCTTTGTGCCTGTGCCTTCTTCAGTGAGTGACCTCTGGCTAACTGCTTGACCTCTTTCTGGGCCATAGCTCCCTCATATTTGGAACAGGACCCTACCTTCCTGCCTAGCTGCTTTTCTGTTTCCTCTGTACATGTTCTCTTACTCTCCTCTCCTCTGACTTTCCGTCGTCTTAGGTGATTTCTCCTTTATCTCGTCCTGTTTTCTCCCACCTTCTCTCCTGGCTTCTTATCTCTTCCTCCCTTACGCAGAGTGAGATTTGTTGCTCTTGTCTGATGCCAGGGGCCTAGAGCTACTGCGGGTCATGAATGACGAGATTTGAGGTTTTGTACATGCCATAACATTTCTGCCATCAAAACTCTTGTGAAGGAAGGAGGTTGTGTACGTCATGTGTATTTAATGGCAAGTTAACGTGGATGCATTGTTACTGACGGCAGCTGGGGGGTGAGGTGACTTTAAGGCGGGTTTTCCTATTTCTAATCTTAGTGAGATTGGTTTTGTTTAATTATCAGAGGACAATTTATAGAAATCATTTCTTTACTTCCACCATGTGAGTTCTGGGGATAGAACTCAAGTTGTCAGGGTTAGTAAGTGCCTTTGCCCACTGAGCCACCTCCATCACTTAACATTTATTTACTCTAACTTTGTGATCTGGATCTTGATGGAGTATCACTGTGGTTAGCTTTTCCATCCTTTTCTTGGTCAAAATTTTTGTTTTTTGTGACGTTTCGAGGAAAATGGAAAGGTTTAATACTGAGGTGGGTTTCTGGCCCACCTCAGCATTGTGTCACTGTTTTGATGAATAACTCACAGAATTAAATGTACGTATTTCAGCTAGTTAGTTAAATCCTTGTGTAGAATTATTAGAAATCCTATCCTATTCAGTTCCTCTTGAAGATAGGTAAAACTTTTTGCCTGTATCACTTCCTCTCAAAATGGTCTTACAGCCCTAAGACCAGTGGCACACAGCAGAAATTGAATATGAGCTATGTATGTAGTTTTACGTTTCCTATGAGTCCCTTATAGAAGGAAGTGGGGGGGGGTTCTTGTGTAAGAGGGAGCCTGCTGTGCAAGCGCAAGGAGTAGAGTTTGGACCCCAGTGTACATGCACACAGAGCTCTGTGTGCCTATCTGCAGTACTAACACTGTACTTTTCACACTAGCTCTAGGTTCAGTGAGAGACCCTGTCCCAAAGAACAGAGTAATAAAGCAGGTACTTTAGTCTGTCCTCTGCATATGTTTACATCTAAGCATGTGCACCTGTACCATACACAATGTAGGAAAAAAAACCACAGAATCAATCAAAATACTTAATTCAGAAGGAATATATAGTATCATTTCAACATACACATACACACACCACAGTTTTTCGCCACCTTTTTAAAAATACCAAATCATCCTACCCAGTGGCTGTCTTCACTCAGTTTATTATAGCCTTCAGTACTAACCTGCTTGGAAATTTAATAGGTATATGTGGTAGGACACTGTTTGTAATAAATTCCAGAGTATTAGAAAAATGGCTTTAATAAAATGTTTTAGCTTAAAAATCAAGTATATTTTATATGTGTGTTTTAGGGTTTTAGAAAAGTTTGAATGAGGTTGCTTATAGCGACACCCTGAGAGCTAGCCAAGGAATATAGAACTTAAATATTGCTTTGTCATACTCTTGAAGTCTAGTTTTGTTATTTATAGAGTGCTGAGCCTGGACAGTCTCCATACTTGTGAGAAATACTGGTCATACTAATATAGTAGAGTAAAAATATTTAGTATTGGGCTGTAGAACCCTGGCTGAGTGGGAAACAGTGATGCCATAGAGGCATGTAAATCATTTTCCTTACATGATTACATGAGTTTTTTCCTCCATGTATAAAGCTGTTTTTATTTCTACAAATGAAGATGTGATTGGCCTAAGGAATCATTAACTCAATCCCTGTTCTGTGTGATGGAAGCTGTAGTTGGCTGTCTTGTGATTGGGCAGGACTTGGTACCTATCAGTGTAAACACACGGCACAGCCTGCCCCCTGCCCCTGCTTATCTTCTTTGGAGAGATGGGGCTGAGGCATTTTGAGCAAATCTCATTGGTAAAGTTGTGTGTGCATTGCTTTTTTTTTTTTTTAAAGACCTGTTTGCTTTCAGTTTTAACTGTATCCCCGTCTGCAACAGTTAGCACCTGATGGTCTACAGAGTAACTTTGTGTTGGTTGGTGCCCTCACCTCTGTAGAGTCATGCTTGATAAGCTTCTTAGGTTTTATTTAAGATGTTTTACTTAGAAGAGAACAGTGAAGATGAGAAGGTTCAGGACAGCTCATTGAGTAAGACTGCAGGTGTTTACCATGGCAAGGCCCCTCCCGGCATCCTGGTGAGTCCCATTCACCCATGTCTCTGCTGCCTTGCTTGAGGCCAACTCTGGACAGCACCCACTAAGTGAAAGTGGGGGATGCCTTTGTTTGGAAGATGTGTCTGCTGGGCTGACTTTCCAGCTTTAAAGTGTTATGTAGAACAGTGTTTGGCTGCCTGCTCTATCTCCTTGCCTTTATGCTATCTTTATTCTGCTTGTTGTTTACTTAATATGTTTATGCCTAGAAAAAAATGTGATTGCTTTAAACTGAGAACTCAGTGTTGAGTTCTGTTCTTGCGCCTCAGTGTGGTAGTTGAAGGATTGGAAGTCACTTAAGTGGTATGTGATACAGAAAGAGTGACTTTCCCTTTTGTGACTATCAGCAAACAAAAAATGCCTGAAATGTGTGTTGGGGGTAAGTTTGTCTGAGGGGTTTTTTGTTGTTTTATTTTAATCTTTTTAATCTAGTTTCTCTTGCTGTAATAATGTACAAACAGAACAGACCTTGTAAACTTGAATTTTTAAAGTCTGCCTTAAGGAAGCACAGTCAGGTGATGCAAAGGCGATAACACTTAACTCTACTCATGGAACCTTGGAAAAATAATGCCATTAAATGCCTATTTCTAGTTTATTTAATTTCTTTTGTTTTTGTTTTGCACCAGGTTCTAGTGTGTAGCTCAGGCTTGACTGTTCCGTAGGCTGTCCTTGAACTTACTATCTTCTTGCTTTAGAACTCCTGAGTATTGGGATAACACCTATGTGCCATTAAGCCTGGCTTAAATCCTTATTTTAAATTGAGGCAGGGGCTATATAGTTTTCTATTCAGATACTCCAAATGAAGCTCCAAATGAAAGCATTGATGTTGTGTTGTGTCTTCTCATTTAATGTAAATTACCTTGGTTACTTTTCTTTTTTAAAACATATTAAGGTTGAATATTTTTATGAAAACCAGCATAAAGTCCACAAAACAAAAAATAGATCTCTGAAATCTATTAGCCTGGTTGATTTTAGTTTTAAAGGTATAAGAATGTCTGTGTCCCTTTAGAGGTTTTACCATACATATTCTGTGTGATATTTGCTTCTGGATCTGAGATCACTAGTGTCTCTATGCAGATTTTTTCACTTAACTAGTAACAGCATTATTTAAATATGAATACAAGTCAGATGCTAATGTGGGAGGCAGTTCTATTTTGAAGTCTCTTGTAATATAAAGGATATGTGCACATGAATTTGTGCACATTAGTCTTAAAGGTCAGAGGAAAGAATGTGAACATAATTAATTCTCTATGAAATAATCTATTTAGTCCACCAGCATACAGACCAGACCGCCTTACAGGAGAGTTCTTAGCCGCCTTGCTGTTGGTGTTTTCCAAAGGGAAGTTGAAGGTGTTTGCTTCGTCTGCATTTTGTTAACAGTCTGCTTTGTGTCACCACCCCCAGTGGCAAGTGACTGGTAGCTGACTTACTAGATTTGCTATCTGCTTAGTGAGCCGTGATGGCTATCTAGGAGTTTGACTTTGGAACGAGCAAGGGTGTGTGCGGTGGAGAACCCTGACTTTGAACTAACCAGAGCTCTAAGTGTTGAACCAGGCAGATGGACAGAAGGGTAGTAAGGCAAGGCGTCCTCTCTTTCCCTGGCTACCAAACTGACTGAGGAGCGTGTGTTTGCAGTTTCATTTTATAAGTTGCTCCTACTCTCCCCAGCCAGTACCATGATGAGCTGAGGCTCCCTGGCTTTCCTCCTCCACCTCAACATTGCCCTTATGTTTTAGGATCAGTGCTAGGTGTTGCTGGCCCTAGCAGAGTCCTAGATCTGAGAGAATGTTCTAGAATACTTATATAAAGTGTGCCTTGATAAAACCTCAGACTGCTGGCTTGGTGTTAAAGGAATTGAACGCAACTCTAAAGGGTCTAAGTTAAAATATCACCCTTTTGGGAAAGCATTTATTTTATAGTCTTTATGTATTCTAGCCTAATTCTACTGGGTTACAAAATCCACTCAGTTCTGGGAAAGAAACTATAGTCTCACATACAGTAAAGAGTTTGCGTGTGTGATGTTGCTTTTTACCTAATTGAAAATAGGACAATTTTTATTATTTTTTCATTGTTTGATGTCTTATTCTAGAACATGTCCCCCCTTTTCCTTGACTCCTCCAGAGGAATTATCTAAATTTCTTCTGTAAGTCGTCTTGGGGAAGGTTTTTTTGTTTTGTTTGTTTGTTTGTTTTTTAAAGGGTGTTAGAGCAGGACTGCTGATGTTATTTTGTAAGAGTAACGTCTTAGCTCTAATGAAATCAGATTTGTTACTGGGAGCCTTTGGTGGACCATCTTAGCATTAGCTGCTATCCATTTGGAAAAGAGCTTTCCTAGGAATCTGGACCAATTATGGTGGCTCTGAGGCTTCAAGTACAAGCAGAGGATGGTGAGTTTGAGGCCAGCCTGGGCTAAATGGTAAATCTGTCTCAAAATGAAAAACAAACCAAAAGATAAAGGAAAAAAGGATCCACCTAACCCGGGGCAAACTTGAAGAGAGAATTGTGTAACCCCAGAAGTGTTATCACATGCACACATTGACCTGAACACTGCAGGGACTGAAAATAAGCAGGTCTCCAGCTAGGTCAAGGGGCATAAGAGATAGGATTGTAGTTACCCATCACCGTATAGTCTCTTAGATACAGAGCACAGCACCAAAGCTCCTACAGCCTGAAATCCAGCTGTAAGATTGAAATATATTGGGGAAACGTGTTTCTTTCAAGGGATAGTGAAGCTGGAAAACAAAAGCAGGAAGTGTCACCTTCAACTCCAGGAGCTAGTAGCCTGCCTCTCTAATCATCAGCTTGAAATACATTTCTAGTCACTAGAGGAATTTACAAGTATTATTCCTGTAGTGGGGTTGTACTCTGGTCCTCAGGACTCCTCAAGGGCTTCCGATGTGTAGCCAGAGCCAGAACAGACATGGAATCCCTGCTAAGTTCTACTGCACTTTTATCATAGACAGAAGAACTCGGGAGTCCAAGAACTTGTTTTTGTTTTTAGCACAAAAACTGTACACCTTCTGTCTCGGAACCCCCCTGTCTGGTTGCCATGTGCCCACAGTCTCTTCCTCCCTTCTTACTCTTCTGTTTCCATAACCTTAAGTCCCAGTGAGTACTGCTCAGACATGTGGTGTCCTTAATTTTTGGTTTGTCTGGTGTCATCACACAATTAGATTAGGGTTATGTGTTTTTGACAAAAATTCCACAGAAGTGATGAGTTCTTTTTAGGGAGTTGTCTCTTGATTACTTGATGATATTGTCTGCTATAAACTATAAGACAGCTGTTTTTCTTTTTATATATAAGTGTGGCTCCAAGACAGTGGTCAGAGAATGTTCAGGTGTTCTGCTTCCCCTTAAACCTGTTTTTAAAACACAACCAAGTTTTACTCAAGTAAATAACCAACTCAGAATTTCACTAAAACCAAATTTGTTTTAATTCTAAGTATATCTTTCTTTCTAAAGCAGATACTGTTCTCTCAGGCTTATTGATACTAAAGTCCTTAGCCTGAGCTGTTGAGAAGTCACTGAACTTTGGGCCTGCAAGTGTTATAGCTGCTCTGTTGTTGAAGTGCTGTGATGCCCTTTAAACCCACTGGTAATTCATGTGGCTAATGAGCTTCCAGGCTATCATCAGATGCTGGGAAGGGCTGTCAGCTCAGAGAATTGAGACAGTTGTACAGTTTCTCAGCATCAGCTTCACTTAGCTGTAGTATCAATTAACTAAGGCTCTGTTTAAGGGGGGGAGGGAAATGGACGGAAGATAAATGAGATTTAACATATTCCCTGGGTAGGCCTACAACCTACATGAATGTCAGTCTGTACCCAGAATGAGACTGTATTTTGGCTGTAAAAGAGTCATATTAATTATTAACTTAGTGGTCAGTGCATAAATAGAACTTCTCGTAGAGAGGGATGTTTCAAAGGAAATTAATTGTTAATTGTGCTACCAGCATATTTGGTAGTGATCCATTTAGCAACTTGCTAAAATTGAGTGACTTTTTGTGGAAGCCAAAGGGTTTGACTTCTGTGTTTATTTTGGAGATCGTACAGTTATTAATGATCACTGCCAAAATAGGTTGGTTGTTCAGTTGTCATGTTGTAGTAGAAGGTTTAAAATGGGGTGGTGGGGAAGAAAGTTGGGAACTTAATTTAAAAGATTTCTTTTAACAAGAAACTCCCCGGAACGCCTTAAAGAAGTCTTAAAAATGGCTGTCACAGAGAGTTTGCAAACCTTACTTCTAAGTAATGCAGTCCGACTCCAAAGTATTTAACCAAATAGAATACTGTACACAAATATGTGTGTTAGCTTTACCTTGTAATTGTCAGGAACTAGGAATACCCAGGATGAAAGGACATTCACACCACAGAATAATGTGTAATAAAGGACAAACTACTAGCTGAGCACGCCTTTAATCCCAGCACTCCAGAGATAGAAGCAGGTGAATCTCTTGTGAGTTCTAGATCAACCTGTTTTACATTGTAAGTTTGAGACCAGCCACAGCTACATAGTGAGAGTCTGTCTATAAAAACCCAAACAAACAAAACCTGCAACAACAACATCAAATTACTAATACATTAACACTGTTAAAAAAAAAAAAAATGCTTTGTACTAAATACAAGAAATCACTACATATTCCATGATTCTATTTGTGTAAACTCAGGAAAAGACAAGACTAAGGGTAGAAAACATGCTGGGCAATTGGAGGAGGAGGTTTACCAGAGGAGCATTACTTAGAGGAGGGGGCAATGTGATTGATTGATCTGCATCTTGATTACTATGATCGTGTAAGTGCTTACTTAAATACACAGGATCCCAACACCCACATAACCCGACACACTCCTGGCCTGGCCTCTCTACACCTCTGTACACACGTACACATAAACAAATATATTTTTTAAAAGCATACAGAATTGTATACTACAAAAGAATGAATTTTATTATATGTAAAGTCTATTTTGAATAGTACACGTTTGAAATCTTACAAT